TGGGTTTTCGTCGCTTGGCAACGACGTTGTGAAACAAGCCGATCACTTCGTGAACTCGGCAACAAGGTACCACTTTGTTTTTGACCTCTTGTTATTTTTGCGGGAACCATACTGCTGGTCGAGTAGATCATGTTGTGCGGGGTGGAGAAGCCTCACTCCGTGCAAGGGGGATGATCGCACCACGTTGTGTTAAAATGGTCAACCACCCTCGAGGCAGTTACACAGTAGTGCTTACAACTGTCTCTGGAAGTGAAAGCACCAGAAAATAAATTAATTCATACGCAGCTGTCATCCGTACGCAAGGAAGTAAGCACAAGATGCCGAACACCCTTAGCAGGATGCAGCGCACCCTTCATGCGACTCGCCGAATATCTCACGGCGCGTCGCGCTTGGTGATGTGAGAGTCTGGTCCGGTGAGAACCCGGCGTGCTCCGTCCCGGCTTTGTAAGGATGCGAGGTCAATGCTCTAACGACTGCGGCATGCACGACTATGAGTACCTCCCCCCTCCCCGCGAGCGCAGGCCCACCGCCCGAGGGTCTCGCCGGCCCACCACCTCCTACCCAGGCACAGAGGGCGCGCCGGATCCACCAACACTCGCCCAGCAGGGTCTGCCGCCGCGCCCCCCGCCCTCGTTTCTTCCCAGCGGGAGGCGACGGCGGCGAAGGAGGCGGGCAGCTATGAGTCAGCCGCGGCCGCTGCGTCTCCAAGGGCTTCTCGAAGGGAGTGCTGCCCGTACCTCTTCCAGCGGGGAATGGTGGTGTCGGAGGAGGGTGTACGGGGGGGTCAGGACCACCTCCGTAGCGATGAGGTGCGTGGTGTGGATTGGGATAGTGTTGATTCAATTTGGGTGCCTTTCACGATTCGTGTGTGTGTGTGTGTGTGTGTGTGTGTGTGTGTGTGTGTGTGTGTGTGTGTGTGTGTGTGTGTGTGTGTGTGTGTGTGTGTGTGTGTGTGTGTGTGTGTGTGTGTGTGTGTGTGTGTGTGTGTGTGTGTGTGTGTGTGTGTGTGTGTGTGTGTGTGTGTGTGTGTGTGTGTGTGTGTGTGTGTGTGTGTGTGTGTGTGTGTGTGTGTGTGTGTGTGTGTGTGTGTGTGTGTGTGTGTGTGTGTGTGTGTGTGTGTGTGTGTGTGTGTGTGTGTGTGTGTGTGTGTGTGTGTGTGTGTGTGTGTGTGTGTGTGTGTGTGTGTGTGTGTGTGTGTGTGTGTGTGTGTGTGTGTGTGTGTGTGTGTGTGTGTGTGTGTGTGTGTGTGTGTGTGTGTGTGTGTGTGTGTGTGTGTGTGTGTGTGTGTGTGTGTGTGTGTGTGTGTGATTTTGGCTTGTTCTTGAGGGGGGAGGGAGGCTTCGGTCACTAATCGACAGGCAATCGAGTAAACTACACTCTTTCGAGTTCTTTCGCGTCGGCTGGGGATCGACCCCCCCTCATCCTGTCCCCGGCAATCCCTTCCGTTCTGCAGTGTGTCGTGCCATATACTGCAGTGCACCACGCGATTTTTCAACGCGAATGCCTCGCTGATTATTTCCTTTTTGTTGTTTTTTGGTCCCTTTCCTCGCCCCTGTCGAGGACGCGTGGTCAATGGTCTGACATCTAAGGCATGCGAACCCCTCCCCCCGTGCTCTTTCTTCTAAGGCCTGGCCGGACGAAGACAGCGAGGAGAGGGTCGCCTACCAGCTCCTGAACGGCATGCGGAGGCCCGACGGATCTGCCCTCGCCAGCGTCCCCCTCCATGCCGTGCGGGAGGGGGCCGGGGCCGACACCCATTTCGTGGAGGCGTTCTACGCTTCGGACGCCAGGGACTGGCTGACGAGGTCACGGGTCGACCCCGCGGGTCCTGCCGCTGGGGACAGGGTGCGGAAGTGGGAGAGCATGGGCATCGTGCAGAGGGTCACGAAGGTGGGGAGGGGGGTTTTGGGCGTGTGCTACACAAGTGTCTTGTGCTGAATTTGTGGTAATCATTTTTCTCCTTTTGTAGGTCGGTCGGCGGGTTGGTTCTTATCCTCCGGGCAACGATGCAAGACAAGAATGTTTCGGTGTAAGAAGAGTTACGTAGCGAGGGGGGGGCAGAGGGTCATGAAGGTGGGGGTAGGGGCTTGGGGGCGTGTTAGGTCGGTCTTCGGGTTCGAACTTTGCCGTATTGGGGGGAGGCACGGTTTGTTTAGGTGTCGTGAAGGAGTGTTTGCAGAAGCTTTTATGAACGCTTGCGGCGATGAGAACTGGAGGCTTTGCACCCCCGCAGACGGGATGTTTCTACTCTGCGTTACCCCCTGACCGTAGTTCCTCAGTGCAGAAAGTCTGCACATAACAGATGAGATCGGCGCAAAATATGTTAAAAATTATATATGCGGGGAGGATGTTGCAAGGGTACACATGTGTTTCGATGTGTTGGTTGATGTGACTGTTCGTTCGATATGTTGATTTTGGGGTTCCGCGTGTAGGGGAGAACATCTGCAGTGGTATTTTTATCGAAGAGCCTATCTGCGCCAGCCTTGGTGGTCGCTAGTTCTCGCACGGCAAGCTGTAGCGGTGGCAGTGACGACCCTCCTCTGTATGTCCGCATATCCCTCAGCCGATAGATTCTCACCACTCCGTGCCTGCATGACCTTCAACCGTTACGGTACTTGCCAAAAGCAGACCCCATGTTTTCTTCAGATCCCGCGGCTTGAACTGCGGAGCCGTTGCCCCGTGAGGTGTGCGCGCTCTTGCACTGCTGTGAATAGTCACGATTCCTTCCCTTTTCTGCTACGCGGTGTGCTTGCTATGCTTGCTGCCGGATTCATTTCTTTCCTTTGTCGTGTTCAGGCGGAGCGGGGGGGAAGCCAGATCCACTTAAGGGGCGGACGGCATCACGGAGACGCCCTCTTGCGATTCGTAGACAGGTTGGTTGGTCTTCTGCGGCATGAGTAACTGTAGTCCCCGCCAATTGATTGGCGACGACTGCGCTACTGCTGCGCTTTTCGTAGAGCACAACAACAACTCCTCGTTATACACAGCGCTCGCTCCTTGTGCGTTGTTCTAGAGTACAATAAAAAAATCAATTGCATATTTCCGCTACGATGGCCCCCCCCACCACGACAGTCCTGCTTGCTTCCTTGCCGTAGTTTTCTAGAGCGCCTCAACAACTCTCCTTGCCAACACTTGCCGCCATTATTCCCCCACAGCACGACAGCGCTGCTTGCTTTCACCACAATTAAGCGGTCGTCGCCCCACCATCTACCTTTCTTGAGCACCACGACTAGAGTCTAGAGTCCTCCTACCTCACCAAACAACTGCTGCACCGCGGCGTTCCACCGACAAAACAAGGTGGGACGTGGAGCACTGCGGCGAATCCGCGGGGGCCGCCCTCCGCGCCGGGCCCCTCGGACGCGTGTCCTACCAGCTCGTGCCGGGGGGAGGGTCGGCGCCAGGCCGCGGCACGCTCCACGGAGAGCTGCTCTACGCTATCGGCGAGGAGGCAGCGGCGGAGCTCTGGACTAGGCTCGGGGCGGAGGATTGGCTAGTCAGGACGGTTGCGAGGTGTGCGAGGCTGACTCCTTTTTTTCTAGGAGAATGTGCATATGTACGGTCGCAGGACGGTCACTACTCGTTCTCGAGATACTGCTGTTGTAGTCGAAGGGGATGTGTTGGAAGTCTTTGCAGCGAGTGGGAAAGAAGGCGTCTGAGCTTATTTTGAGTCTATTTGAGCGTTTACCCTGAGTTATTGACTTTGCTGAAACAGAGGTGGACGGCAGCAAACTGGTTTGTTTGTTGTTAGCGTTATTGATCGGCTTGTTTGGGTACCGGGGCTTACGCGGTGATGTGCACGTGCCATGCCGAGTCTGATTGTAGGCGATGTTATCTGTTGCTGCTGCTGCTGCTGCTGCTGCTGCTGCTGCTGCTGCTGCTGCTGCTGCTGCTGTAGGTGGAAGTTTCGTTATACAATCGACACAGGCTTTCGATTTGTCAAATGGGGCGCGCATGTTTTCCTGCCGTCAGGGTCGTCCACCCGTGACATGAGCGTCTCGCCAGGCACGACTGTGGCAGTCGATTGTGGCCTTATTGCTAGTGCTAAAGAAACCAAAGTTAACCCCCAAGCCTACCCCTCTTCCATCTTTCGCCCCCCACTCGCTGGCTGCTGTGTCTGCTGCTTCCACGACCGGCACCTCGACATCGACAAAAACCTGTTCGCCATAGGGCGGAGTTCCCCTTCTCCTACCGCCACCAGCTTGCCGAGTTGGCCTTCCATCGCGGCTCGCATGTGGCGGCGGCGGCGGCGGCGGACACAGCGGTCACCAGCGCAGCAGCGGCGCTGACGCCAGCTGCGGCGGCCGCGGCCGCGGCCGACTTGCCGTGCTCCCTGCACGACGGCAACCGGCGGCCGGAGCGAGACGCCTACTGCCTCTGCGTGTTCGAGCACCTTTGTCGGTGAGTTGTCGTCAGCCGCTTCGTGTTTTTTGTGTGTACTGTAGCGCAGCCGGACCTGAAGCACACGTGCAGACGGCGTTTTGACCGTATTGTCAATCGGGCAATGTTCTTGTTGGGTGCTTTTTATTGTCTTGACGTGTTGCCAAACGGAAAAATGTGCTTTTTTGGATGTTTCGTTGTCTGCCGTATCCCAACACAGACAGTCAATGTGATTTTTTGGCTTAGTTGGGTCGGCGGAAATTCGTTTGTGCCGTCAAAGATCCCGCGTGTGCCTTGATAAAAGTAGTGGTGTGTTCGGTACCGACAACGTGTTGCTCGCCCAGCCACACCTAGATCCGCCGTGCTTCGCGCCTTTGATGAACCTGCCCGTCTACTAGGCATCCTGTGGACTGGGTATGACCGCTGCTGTAGCCGTAGTTGTAGAACATAAGCAAACTGGAAGGCAAGAAAACCCAGCATGAGTACGTGCCCGAAACCGCTCAGTTAAAGCTCACGAGCATCGATCCCCCCCAACAAGAATGTGATCACCAGCGTTGTTCTCACCTTGGTATAGTATCCCATCGTAGGAAGCAAGCTCCACGCCATCAACTACTCACACGACGCCCCCCCCCATCCCCCCCGGCCTCTCAGGAATGCCCTGTTCCGCCGCCTGCGACTACCGCACCGCTTCCAAGCCCTGGTCAGCGTCCAGCTCCTCGGTCTCAAGAACCTGAGCCCGCACTACCATCCCGCTAAGACGGACGTCTTCGCCGCGGTAAGCCTCAAGCGCCTCGACATGACGGCGGCCGGCAGCAACGGCAACGGCAACTACGCCGCCGCCGCTGCCGCCGGCCACAGCGGCGGCGAGGCGGCGGCGAAGCGTCGCGGCCGCAACACGTCGGTGACCGCGATAAAGCGGCTGCTGCCGACGGCGAACGGGCAGGAGAACCAACAGTCCCGCTGGGGCGCCAAGGCGGCGTTTCGGTTCCCGCTGCCGGAGGAGGCGTCGCCGTTCGTGCTGGCCTACGGGGACGGGGCCTACGAGCTCGTCATGGGCGGCACCGGGAAGGGGGGGATGGGGAGCCAGGGCCCGCCTAGGTGCGTGCGGATAGCGGTGTGGCGGAAGCAGTTCCTGGCGGACCAGCGGCTGGGGGAGGTGGACGTCCCGCTCGGGAAGCTGGACGATCGCGGGGACATCGACGAGTGGGTGGCGCTTCGAGGGGACAAGGGGTCTTCATGGTGAGAACGCTCTCTCTCTTGAAACACCACCCCACCCCCTCATATACGCCGAACTGCACGGACAAAGTATGCTCGTGACAGCCAGGACTCGATAGAAATATGTACGCAGCAAGCGATCGTTGTACGATGAAACAGGTTGCCTGCTAAGTGCCTCTGGCAGCAAGAAGAGCCTAGGTGTTGTGCATCAACTCGCGCAGAGGGGGGCGATATGTGGATGGCCTCAACGAAGACGTACATGAGAGGCCGGAATTTGCACTCATTCTCATCCCCGCCGCCGCTGCCCGTCTAAACTCCTCAGGTTCGTGAACGTTCGGTTCAGCTTACGGTTCGTGATGGTGAGCGTTTCAGACCCCGTCCCAGACCAGGAACACTCGGAAGACTTGGCGGCGGTAGCCGTGGAAGAGGAGAACCCGGGGATGACTCTGTCTTACGCTCTCGCGGACGTCGACATCATGTAGAAGAAGCGGCGTCATCAAGTGATGTCGTCGACATCATGTACTTGTAGAGTCGACGTCGTCGAGTGGCATTGTCGTGGTAGTAACGTGCGTCCCGCGGCCTCAGAAGAAGAAACGCCTCCCACCCACGGTCGTTGCGACGCACGTCCGCTGAGGATCATACAGGGACAGGCTCTCTCTCCCTGTTCCCGGTCTTTTGGACCATCGAACGCGCGTTGTACCCCTTTCGAGGGTGCGCGTGTGACACTCCCGATACGGAGTTGTGTGATAGAGATTGCCGGAGAGCGGCGGGGGGGGGGGGGCGTTGGCAATCAAAAGGGNACGTCGACATCATGTAGAAGAAGCGGCGTCATCAAGTGATGTCGTCGACATCATGTACTTGTAGAGTCGACGTCGTCGAGTGGCATTGTCGTGGTAGTAACGTGCGTCCCGCGGCCTCAGAAGAAGAAACGCCTCCCACCCACGGTCGTTGCGACGCACGTCCGCTGAGGATCATACAGGGACAGGCTCTCTCTCCCTGTTCCCGGTCTTTTGGACCATCGAACGCGCGTTGTACCCCTTTCGAGGGTGCGCGTGTGACACTCCCGATACGGAGTTGTGTGATAGAGATTGCCGGAGAGCGGCGGGGGGGGGGCGGCGTTGGCAATCAAAAGGGTAGGTTAATGATGCTCTGTAATGAAAATATGGTATGTATGAAGGTTTTGTGCAGTGACACACGGTTTTCGTGTTTTTTTGCCTCTGGAGAAGACAGAGGGAGGGGAGCGGTTTTAGTGTTGGAGATAATTGAAGCCGCGCAGTTTTGCGCTTGAAGGTCATTTTTTGGTCGCCATGGTGTGAAGTTTTTGTGCTTTGATACTCGAACGCTATTCGCCGTCTGGAGTAATGCGCCGCAACAGCAGAGCTGGCTCGTAGACGCGGTACAAGCGCTCTCCTCCCGTAAGGGCAGAGGGAATAGATCCACGTCGAGTTTGCCGACGAGTCGATCTTGTCCTCGCGGCTCCTCAAGTAAAGTGTCCAATTTTTGCGTCGAGGGCAGCCTGTCTGTTGTCGTTCATTTTGAACACAGGTCGCCACTTACTACGTCGTTCACAGCAGTTAGTTCCAGTAGTTCACACCATGATTCGAAGCGAATCTATCTGCCCCTTGCATACAACGTAAACTACATACATAGTGCAAGGGCGGGGAGGGGGCGCGCGCATCGTCGCCCTTGCACCGGCACCGTGGGTGGGAGTGCCTTGCGTGGCCTTGGTGCTCCTCGTACATACAAGTGCAATGCATCTGTTGTCGGATGTTCTTCATTCAATTCACCCGCGATGTGGAGCGCCACACCGACAGCGGTTTGTCATGTGTCTGACGCCCCAAAACACATGTGTGTCCAAATTATTATCGTTTCGCTATAACCCTGAGTTTTGAATTATTGGCGTGTACACCCACAGATAGATGAGGCGGGGCGTTACCGGTCTCAGAATGAACGGGAGATGGCTTAAGAGACGTGTTCGCAAAAGGTATTGGATGTTGGACATAACAGTTACCGCAGTCATGGGGATGACGCAAGACACCATACTCCCTGGGCCGAGTTTCAAAGCTCCATTATTGTGACTCTATTATTGTGATCAAATCAACGCGATGGGTGAGTATCATCGTCGGCGTTGCCTGGCTGGAGCTGGTTTGATTTTTTAGCGGGATTCTTTGGCCGCTGGCTGAGTTTACTGCGGTGTTGTTGTCATATCACGACCCGAGGGCGGATTGATTGTTGCTGTTATTGTTGTTGTGCTCACATTATTAACAACCGTTCCGGTCTCCGCTCAGTGCCTTGTTATGTCGGTACTGGTCCAACTGACGCGGACGCCTTCCGTGGTCAGAAGCCAACTAACTGCCCCTATGGGAGAGGTACACCACCCATTAAAAACGATAGGAAAAAATCGAAGGGTCCGCAAGCCAATCAACGACAGATAATCGAAGCCACTCCGTTCGCCTCTACACGCTATGCGAGGTCACCTTAGATAGACTGGAAAAGAAAGAAAAAAAAACTGTAGCAATGATCTATTGGCACCCCAGAGACGCAAGAGACGACGATCGAATCAATAAATATTCGCAACAAAAAATATTGTTTAAAACATACCTATTATAGTACCAGTGCTATCGTCGCCTACTACTTGCATGGCCGGGCGGCAAAATCAATGCAGCCTGCCCCGGGGAAGTCGTGCACTGATGCTCGCCGCGCCCTGCACTGGAGACAATCGATGCAACGCGAGAGCTTCGGAGGGAACATATTATATGCACTAGCTGCTCCGGAACCACAATAATGTGAACACATACATACCCCCGTCCATTTTTTCCCCCCGTTCAACACCAAGGGTGCACTTATCTGCGGCTGCATGGAAGAAATGCGGCAGTTTTCCGAGGCCGACCGCACCACGTACTACGCACGTCAACGAGCGGGGCCGAGAGAGCATATGTTCACGACGTGCACCAACAACGACCTCCTCCGCATCCGCTACGGAGGGAGAAGCTTGGCAACATTGCCGGCGCGTGCGGCAACACGACCGCTTGACCTGGCACCAGCATGGTGAAATATACACCCTTTGAGAACACCTCCCGGGGCGATCGTCCTGCTTCTTTTGTGAAGTGGAAATCATACACCCCGTCGGGGTTAAGCTCAAAGGAACAGGGACAAAGGTGCTTTCTTTCTAAAAAATCAAAAACAAAACGCCCAGGCGAAAAGGCCCCGGGGGGGGTTCTCACTCTTCTGCTGTGATGATGCACCTGCTGTGCAACACAACGCAGCGCTGACACGGTGACACGCTGACCCACAAGATATCGGGACTCAACCCGTTTGCAGCACCAACAACAAATCGACTACAACAATAACACCGCAACTGACACACACAGAATGCCGCGACAATGCAATGCCGTCCGTGGGTTTGCCTGCAAACAGTCCGCTGGGCGCCCCAAACATTTTTTGCCGAAAAATGAACACCTCGGGGCTAACTCAAAGGTAGAGGGGCCAATATATGAAAAATAAACAAAAAAAGGATACCCACTCCCGGGGCTATCTGCGGGCATTCCTTGGTGAGGGTCCGTTGCCACCAACCAAATGGTACCAAGTGGGTGTGTAACGCATTGGAAACACTTCGCCCAGTGTCACCACTCGATATCAAGCGGTATGGTCGCTTGCGAGTGGTCCGCCAAACGTAATTCTTCACCCAGCCACGGATGTAGCCGTACGTAGCCGTTGGCGTCTGCCACATCTGAAAGCTCCCCGGCCCATATGCAGTCGTTCGCTAGGGCACAAATCAACAATGCGAGGTGCCCGTGCGCGGCTGCCTTGGTGCAGGTGTCGCTATCCCAAGGACAGCCCTCTTCACGTAGCCATTGAAGCATCTTGAGGTTCCCTCTTGCAGCCGACATCGCGCAAGCCCGACTGGGCGAGGCGTAATGGATGGTCCATGGAACGCGCGAACCTGCGCAGCGGGAGCGGATGGTGGGCACCTGGAAGTGCTGCAGTGGGCCCGAGAGAACGAGTGCGAGTGGGACCATGACACTTTCGCGTCGGCCACCTGGAGACAGCACTTTGGAGTTATGCGCTGGGCACGAGCGAACGGCAGTCCTAGGGAATAGCACTTCAAGATGGCCGCCAAGTGCAGCCCCGGCGCATGGACCCCCGTCTTCGAGGTCCCAAGGGCAGCCGTTATCCCGGAGCCACTTAAGCATGGGCAGATCTCCTCTGCAAGCGGCCCAGTAACAGGATTCGCCGTCCAAGGGGCATCCTTGGGCAACTGCCGACTGAAGGATGCCGAAGAATCCACCAGCTGCGGCAGATCCACATGTCTTTACATCCCATGGGTAGCCGTGTGTACGCAGCCGTTTCAAAGTGTCGTGGCACCCGGCATAGGCCGCTTCGGCGCACGCCTGTGGGCCCCAAGGGCATGCATTCGGGTCCACTGTCCCCGTCGGCCAGTTCTCGGTTGGGGACCTCACCCATTTCAGGACCCGGGAATGACCTCCGAGGGCGGCCAGTTGACATGCTTTTTCATCCCAGTCACAGCCCTCTGCGCGAAGCCATTGGAGGGTCTCAAGGTGTCCCCCCCTGGCGGCCTGAGCACAAGTCGCTGGGGTCCACCCGCAAGCGCTCCCTTGGGCAAGCTTCAGGAGGTCTAGTCTGCCGAAACGGGCAGCGGCGTTGCAGATGGTTGCTTGCCTGATGCTCGAGGGCAGGCCGAGCTCCAAGCAGTACGTGAGCTGCCTGACGGAAGTATCAGCGACCACGGGTCGGGTTACCGTAGCTCGTGGACCCCACGCGCGCCTGAAGGCCTTCAACACCGGAGCGATGAACAGGTACTGGTCCTGATCCACGAACTCTGCAAAGTACCACATGATGTCTTTGCTTCCGAGGACAAACCAGGATGCCACGTTGTTTCCCTGCAGGTGAAATCACCGCAGAGCAGCCGCGGCGAGGGATTGGGATGTTGGGGCGGCGGAGGAGTCGTACAAGCTTGCTTCATATACACCGTAGTATCATTTGAGAAGGCCTCGGGCGGGTGGTCTTGTTCTTTGGCAAAAACATCACTCCGGGCCGTCCTCAAAGGTAGAGGACGACATTTTCAAACACTGAAACAGGTTATTTTTTCTGTTGAGAGGCACCTGTACACAAACCATAGCGCCGATCCACGAATGTCAGGTCTATAACACGAACCACGGGCGGGTGTACCTTGACGTGTCTGCCACCACGGCGGTACTTGCTTTTGTGGGGGGGCGTTTTCATGCGAGGGGGCGTTCTCGAAGGATAGTACGGTACGGTACGCCTGGTGCACGGTGGTGCGCCCAGGTATAGAGTATCGCACGGACAAGCGTGAGTGTATTTTCACACGAAAAATGCACACATACGAGCGCTATGCGGAGTCCGCAGCCCCTTCAGTCGACCCGACCGTGTAGCTCGCTCGATAGAATGGGCCAACAGATGACAAGTTCCACAAATGGCAACAAGAACCAATCGGACTCCGCCGCGGACGTAGGCCCGGATTTCTCTCGCCGTCAATTAGGTGTCATACACTTGCTGACTGGGACGGTCAATGAGCAGCAGCCTTTCAGTGTGCTTTAGACAAGAATAGGCCGTTGCACAGTTTCAACAGGTGTGTGTACGTCCACACACGGATTCACCTTCAAAACGGACTATAAATGGATACCTTACGAGATGAACTGGGACAGAGAGGTTGAAATGGCTTACTTACCATATATTGGGTGGGTTGTCATGTGCTTCGTTCGCGGCGCTGGTGGCGGACCCTCCTCCTCCATTTGGCCCGGCGGCCGCTGCCCACCCAGAACGTTGATTACTGCACTCACGAGAGGGTTAAGGAGGAGCGGGGAGCGCAACCAGCACGGCCAACAGCAGTGGGGTCAAACACCGGTCGGGATGGACGAGACACGTGTACTCGGCAAAAACCGTTTTGCGACCAACAATGGGAGCGGTTCCAGCCACGTACATTGCGTTACAGGCCTTGAAAATTTTTCTATTGCTATAGGTTCCTGCTGGAATTCACGCACATCTCTTGGAGGTTGAGCAATCACCGCAGCCTTCTCGCTGTAACCTTGAGCGTGATTCACGTGGGGTTCGTGTGGGATTCCCAAGATATCCTTTCGTGATTTTTTCTCCACCTGTCCCAGTAAATTTATTCGGTGGAAATATCGTGTCTCGCAAGCGTCTACAGTACACTCAGGCTAATCTATGACCATGCACTTACTCCCTAATTCTTGTCATCATTCAGATACCATGATGCTCGAGACGGGGGTGCTTGTTCCGGAAACAACAAATCCATGACCACACGCGCAACCCTGGAAGGGCGAGTACCTGCTGCTTTTTCGATATCTCTCCATGTTCGATACGGTATCGTAGACATTCTAAACTAGCATTGAAAGAACGGTGCTTCTTTGATGACTAACGTCATTTAAAAGGTTCTACGAATTTCGTACAAAAGCTTTGCTGCTCCAACATTTCTCTGATCTGGACAACAAGGACGACGTGTCGCGATACTTGGCAGAAATCCGCATCTGAAAAGTGGTTATGTCTCTCTCCTACATGGAAACTAACACCAAGCGCTCTTGCTTACAATCCAGCGATATACAGGCGCGACCTCGGAAAATCGAGACAATCTGCCTTCCAAGTACAAGCACGTGGAACACGGCTTGACGTCGACGACATTGACTACTCGTTGTTGCCAGCCGCGCTTGACACGTTGGACTGGCCAACCTGACTGGCGCGGGGTACGGACGTGATACGATTCGCCGATTCCTCAGCATGATCATTACCGTCGACTCAGATGGTTTGTGCACACACCGTCCCTGTCGAGCCTGCCTGCAGCTAGTGCTGTCGGTGCCGCTGTTGATGCCTCCACTTGCAGTTTCAGCACCAGCCAGTAATGAAGCAGCAACCGCAGATGCCGCACCTCCGTTCACGTCGATCCTTGCGTGCCGTGTGTCACTTTGTTGCGCACTCTCAGCTCGAAGAATGACTTGCCGTAGGAAAACTTGCACCTCTATGGCTACTTGGCGACTACGCGGAACAAGGCCGAGAGAAAGGGGACGGGGGCGGTTTGTCACGCTCTGTCCGTGGCGGCAATGGTTTCCCTCAGCGACTCCAAACAAGGGTCAAGCGGGTGGCCGTATCCCAGGCCAAGCGTACGAAGGGGGTCAATTACCACGACTAGGGTGCGACCACGTCATAAACCAAGCTCCGCAATACCGCGAACAAAAACGTCCATTGACATCCTGGGGTCAGGCATTTACACAAGCTTCAAGGGAGAGAGACACGGAGAGAGAGAGAGAGAGAGAGAGAGAGAGACAGACAGACAGAGAGCGAGAGAGAGAGAGAGAGACGGGGGGGAAGAGACCGAGCGCAAGACTCATGGTGTGTTGCTTTTCTGTGGTTGAACGTGAATAGTCAGGCAGACTTCTCAAAATCATTGCCCCCCCGACCGAGCGGGAAATCGAATGGTTGTACCGGTCAGGCCGACTGCCACATGGTAGCTTCTGCTGCCCCCATGGACGTGTCATGTCATATGTTCGTGGAATCGAAAAAATATTATTGGCTACATACGTGGGAAGGGAGGGAACATCTGCCCAATATTCTCTGCATGCAACCAGACAAACGGCATACTTGTTCGAACATTCGAAACAGTACTGGTGCAAGTCTTGGATTGATCTGCGTCTCGATGGGCGAGAATTTGAGGCAGAGGAACTTGTAAGTTCAAAGGGTAACTTGAATAGAGGAGCTGACCACGCAATTCGAAAGGTAGACGTGAACGAAAAGACAGCCCGACCTTCCGAAACACGCTGTCCGTTTACCGAGTTTTTCTCACCTGGTGTGTACGACGAAGAGCTTCAACCCACCTCCAGTGTTGATGACGACCTGCACGTCTTGTAGCTTGCCCTTGCCGTTCGCTTTTCCGCGTCCCCGATGCGTCCGACGGTCTTGGCTGTACCGCCGGTGCCCATAACCATCCATGCATCTCGCTGCATCCTCCCTACCAAAGACGAAAAATTCATAGGGTCCAAAAGGCGAAGAGGGGAGCACTGCAAGAATTCAGTACCGTACGACACAGGGGTACTGAGCAAGCAGATCGACACGATCAAGGGCTCGAGCAAACATACTCGAATTACTTGCATTTACCGGGTGCTGTTGGGAATGCGATTTGACTACCGTATATCGAGGGATTTGCACACACCAAGGGGAGCTGAAGTAGACCGCACAGATCGACACGTTCTTCGCTGGTCTAAGCCGCGCAGTCGGGAGGGGGCTTATGCTGTTCCCGGCACTCGATAGGACTGCATCGAGCGCGTATTTCACGAACTGTCCTCACTGCTGCTATTTTTCATTGTGAACGGTGTGAGGGGCTGCCTGTCCGTCACTACGCCGGAGGAGCTAACCGAGCACGCAAGTACCCGGGATAAGTTTCATTGGAACCGTTTGGTGCAGCCAGGAGCGCACCACAAAATACGTCAGCGCAGGCCGTATTGCGCGCTCTTATTCACATGCTGAATAGCCTTTACAAACGCTGACAGGTCCGTTCCTAGTGCCCATTCACAAACAAAAGCGCTCTATCATACTTGCTGCCGAGCACGTACTTTGTGGATGTTCTTGCTCCAAGTCAACACAAGAAATGGAGTTTTTCTCCCACAACGGTTTTGATACTACGCTGTAGCTGGAACCGCTAGAAAAAGCAATCAATATTAATGTCTACTTGAGATACTCCTTGAACTAAGATCAAACAACGCGAATCACAATGTATCATACTTCCATATAACGCCTAAATGTGATACATGGACCAACACGAACGAGCATAAATTCCTCGAATAACATGAAAGTTGTTGTCGAAGACCGAATATACTGTATTATATTGTGCACGGAAGAGTTCGGGACATCTCCTAGTGTTACGTACGTATTTGGGCTCTTGTTGTGTCGCTCTGGAGGCGTGTTGGTTCGGATGTCTTGTATCGGTTTTCTGGGGTCCCCAAAGAGTAAGATTTCACGAAGTTCTCATTCTGCAGCCTCGCTGCTCCTGCAGCAAGAGTTTGATAGACGCGTGTCCACTGGACTCAAGGGCCACGTGTCGAATAATACACAATGTGTAACACGCAGCCTGCTTCGGAGGGTCACGCGGCATAGGAGGGCAGCAGCTAGCTACATCGAACTTCGGACCATGATGTTGTTTCTCACATTAGCTCTAAAAAAGAAAGATTGGGAGCCCGTGGTCTCAAAACCCGGCATACACGACCCCACGAAGAAACAGAAAAAAATAGGGTACAAAAACCACTCGGAAGAGAAACAAAATGATAGAAAGAAAGACCAGCTACCGCACCAAACGAGAAAGAGCGTCGAGGAGACCGATCAAAATAAAATAAAAGGAGAACGGGGAACGCTTCCCACACCCGCCTACAACGCCGGAGGGTTCCGTGCCGGGTTCCCGCCGACCAGGCATCCCCCGCCCTGCACCACACCCCAGGGGGTGCAGCAAGACGGGGGGCGAAAAACAAACACATATATATTCCCACAAAAATAAAATAATAAAAAATCGAAGGACAACGTACACCAGTACCAGGTACTACAGCAGTGCAGTATGCAC